TTCTCTGCCTCTCCAATCTTCCATGTTCCTCGAGGCCCAGTTTATATGCTGCCTCCTTCAGGAAGCCCCTCGTGATTGCCATGGGCTGCAGGCACTGTCCCCTCCACAGCACCTCCTGCTACTGGAAAGGATCTCCCCTCTCTGTCCTCCCCAGTACTTGAACGCTGTGGGGGGTACAGACCAATGCCCTCTGCTTAGCCTGTATCTGGCCTCCTCTCTTGTTTTGCAACCCTCAAGGCTGTGAGCTCTGGAGCTCTGCGCCTGCACAGAGCAGGGTTGGGGGCACTGACCTGCCCACGTCCTGAGCCCCCAGCCTTCCCTCCCCCAGATGCTAAGGCTCCTTTTCCTTCCTTCCTGCCCGGAAGTGCTGCCCATGTGGGTCCTGGCGCTCATCCTGGTCTTCGCCACCCTAATCTTGCTCCTAGCCCTGCGCTGCTGTGGCATCTACGGGTACAGGTAAGAGGACTCCATGACGGGGGGGTGGGGTCCCCACGAACTTGGGGGTGCCAGGCACCTCACAGCCAGCTCCCTCCAGTCCCTGCTCTGCCACCTACTCCCTGAGGGCCTTGGAAAAATCCCCCCCTCTCCCTGGGCCTCAGTTTCCCCTCTGAGCTTGGAGAACATGAGCAGGGGGCAGCTGCCCTGAGGGCTCTGGCGGCTGTCACCTCCCTGCTGTCTTTCCAGGCTGAACCGGAAGTGGGAGGAGAAAATCCCCAACCCCAGCAAGAGCCACCTGTTCCAGGTAGGATCTGCCTGTGAGGGCGGCTGAGGTGGGAGGGGCTCTCCTGCTCCTGTGCCCTGGCCCCGTGCCCCCGTCCTCCTCCCCTTCCTGTGGCTTTGAGTGGTAGGGCGTCCGTGGCCAGGGAAGGGGCTGGGAAGCTCTAAGAGCCAGGCCAGCTCCTGCCAGTTCAGCCCTGCCAACCCCTGGGTCCCGCAGATGCACAAGGTGCCCCGGCTGCGGGGGCCCCCGTGGACCCGGAGAGAGCTGAGTACGGGGGTGTCAGGATCCAGGGTGGGCTCATGGAGGGGGTTAGTGCTACTGGGGGTAGGTGGGCCGGTGGGAGGCAGAATGGCTTCCTCGGGGACAGGACGTTGGAGCTGAGTTTTGAGGGGTCCGGGGCGGTGCCAGGTGGGAAAGGCCGCTGCAGGCAGAAGGCACGTGGAGGGTGGAGACAGGAGCCCTTCATGAAGGGAACTGGGAGGTGGGCAGTGAGGCTGGGGGCACACCACGGGAGGCTGCGATGACCCCTGGGTGGGAGCCAGCGCCAGGGTGGAGGGAGCCTTTTGGTCAGGGAGGGACGGCCAGCTCTGCCCGCGGAGGGCGCTCATGGCCAGAGTGGGGGAGACCGGGGTGTGAGCGTGGAGGCAGCGACAGCCCAGATCAGCAGACTCGAGGGAACAGGGTCCCCATCCTCGGATGCTGGAGGACCCCCGGGAAGTCCCAGCCCCTCTCAGGCCTCCCCTTCCTGGTGTCAGAAAGCGTGGCTTGTCCTAACGGTGCTGAGATGTCCCCGTGTCTGGGCTCACTGAATCCCCGGTCACCCCACAGCCCTCCCCACCCTCAGTTTCTCAATGGCCCCCACACCACAGGCACACATGTCCTCTCTCTTCCAGAACGGGAGCGCCGGGCTGCGGCTCCCAGACAGCGTTTGGGCCCTCACCAGCAGGAGCCCCCCATACCAGGGGCCGTGGGGCAGCCACTTCCCTGAGCTGGAGGGGTGAGTGTCTGGGCACGGGATCGCCAGGAGGTGGGAGGACAGCCCATCGTGCACCTCAGGGGCTCAGATGAGGTGGTCTCTGGCCTGAGGGCACTGAGAAGAGATCCGTGGAGGCTGGTGTGCACTATAGCAGGCGGCATCCCAGTTGGACATCGGGAAGAACTTGATTCCCAGGTTAGGGAGGGCCGTGTCTCTGACTTGACCCGAGATGGGAGACTGCAGCAGATGACTTCTCCCTGCCCTGCTGCCCAGGGAGACCCCACACTGCCCTGACCTCAGGGGGTGGCCGAGGGGCTGCAGACCTCGTGGCCTCAGCACGCTGCCCCCAGCTTACCACTCACCCTCAGGAGAGGGGACTACACGCAGGGATGAAGGAGGGGGATGACTGAGCCTGCGTGGCGGGGCACTGACCTGAGCCTGACGCTGGGGCTGTCGGGGAGCCGAGGGTGGGGGCCATCCCTGGGCGAGGAAGACCCTGGATGAGAGCCCAGAGGCTGGTGGGCGAGATCTGTGGGGAGACGAATGAAAGTCCAATGTCCCCCTCCAGGCCTGCCCCCTCTCCTCGCCCTGCTCTCTGCTCCCTGTGAGCCCCAGTGCGCCAGGCTTTCCCCCAACCCTGAGCCTGCGCTGGGGCTAAGGTGTCTGCCTTGGGTGGTCCCAACATCTCTGCACCTGTTCTCCCCACAGGGTGTTCCCTGTAGACTGCGGGCACAGCGAGGTGTCACCTCTCACCACAAAGGACCCTAAAGATGCCCGGGACTCACCATCTGAACCTGACACGACTCCGGCCTCCTCGGACCTGCCCACCGAGCGGCCCCCCAACCCCCAGCCGGGCCTCTCGGCCCCCTCAGGCTGGCCTGAGAGCCTGGTCTCTGGCTTCGACTTCAATGGCCCCTACCTGGGGCCGCCCCACAGCCGCTCCCTGCCTGACGTGGTGGGCCCGCTGGCGCCCCCGCAGATGGGCATGAGCCAGAAACCACCACCTCCGGGGTCCCTGGAGTACCTGTGTCTGCCCCCGGGGGGACAGGTGCAGCTGGTCCCGCTGTCCCAGGCGATGGCACAGGGCCAGGCCAGGGATTTGGAGAAGAAGCCCAGCCCAGGGGCTGAGGAGAGCCCCTCCCTGGAGACAGGGGAAGGCCCTGCCCCTCCTGCACCAGGGCTGGTGGTGGGCGCTCAGGACTCAAAGGGCAGCCCCACAGCTCTGCCTGCAGGCTCTGGGGGCCCTGAGGACAGCGGCGTGGCCTCTGGTTATGTCACCACTGCAGAGCTGGCCCTCGTCCCGCCCACAGGGGCCGCCTCTGTCTCCCAGGCTCCGCCTCTGGTGCTCCCCTCAGACCAGGACCACAGCCTCTGTCCTGGACTGGCCGGTGGGCCCCCTGGGGCCCCGGCCCCCATGAAGCTAGAGTTTGAGGGCTATGTGGAGCTCCCTCCCACCACAGGTCATTCCCCCAAGTCCCCACTGGTCAGTCCTGCTCCTCCTGCAGCCTGCAGCCCCATCCTGAGCCCAGGGGAGCCTCGGGCAGATGCGGCCCCGGCCTCCCCCCACCCCGAGGGGCTCCTGGTCCTGCAGCAGGTCGGTGACTATTGCTTCCTCCCTGGCGTGGGGTCTGGCCCTGTCTCACCCCAGAGTAAGCCCTCTTCCCCAGGACCCTGTCCTGAGATTGGGGACCTCAACCAGGCGCTCCTGCCCAAGAAGCCCCCGTCCCAGAAGCCCCGGTCCCAGGCCATTCCCCAGGTGCCAGCTATTCAGCTCTTCAAAGCCCTGAAGCAGCAGGACTACCTGTCGCTGCCCACTTGGGATGTCACCAGGCCTGGGGAGGTGTGCTGAGACCCTTAGACCCCGGGGGGTGCGAGTGGAAGGAGAGGGTCTGCTTTCCCTCCGCTCTGCCCTTCTCTCCCCCCAGCCCCTGGTCCCTTCCACAGTCATCTCTGCAAAGCCAAGGAGAGGCTTCCATGTTGGAGCAGATGGAGACTGGGAAAAAGAGTCCACCACCGCCTTCTCTCTCGACCCTCAGCAAATCACTTCTCTCCTCTCTCTCTCTCTGTCTCACAGACACACACACACACACACACACACACACACACACTTTTCTTTTGAGTTACCTTAATTTTAGGTTCTGAATTAATAGAACATTCCATACATACTCATTCCATTTGCCCTCACTTTCTTTTTTACCAGGTTTTCTTGCTTTTGCTATTTTCTTCTTTCTCTTTTCACTGATTTATTATTAGTGTGAGTTTGAGGTCCAAGCTGAGCCTATTCTGAGATGTCGTGTCTCACTCAGCTAGTCTGATGCTGCCCTGGCTGGTTGTGCTGGAGGACCTGTGTCCGTGGCCTGTCCCCGGCAGCATGAATGCACGTGATTAGATTCCAGCCCAGGTGCAGGAGGCAGGAGGCACTGGGACAGGGGCCATGGGGGTTCAAGGCTGGGAAGAGCAACCCAGGACTGGGCACGCTTATGCCAGGCACTGCAGCCCCAGACATGGCGGCATAGCGCCTGCCTCAATTGTCACTCCAAGAAATGGGCGTGGTAAGGGAAGAAGTGTTCTGAGCTCACCGGAAGGCTTGCTGTCTCAACGAGGGGACTGGGGAGCCTCAGGGGACCATGGGCCCTGCATCGTGTAGAGGCCACTGAGCGGAGCAGCCTGCAGTGCTGAAATGATCTTTCTACACCCAGGCTGGTGGGCCTGGGGAAATTCGGGAGGGGAGGGGAGGCCAGGACCCAGGTCTACTATACAAAAGTTGGGAAAAACTGCTCAACAAAGGAAAGTCATCAAAGGGCATGTATGCTTTCGGTCTTATAGTCCAAATCTCCCTGCTGCCCCTCTCTCCAGAAAGACCCCACAGCTCCCACTCCCACCAGCCACATACGGTGGGCTTCTGGACTATGTCTAGGCCTACACTGGGGATTATGGTTCTTTGAAATCTTTGCCTTTTTGATGTGCAAAACAAGTGGCATTAAATCGTTTTAATTTGCATTATTTGATAATTACCATGTTGGCACATATATTCATGTTCCTTGGGGATTGATATTTTTTTACTGGGCTAAGCCCATTAATGTCTTTTGTTCTGTCGGATGTTCATCCTTTTCTGATTGAATTTTTGAAACCGTTTACATACGGCCTTTCTTAGATGGTGCAAATGTTTTTCGTAGTTTGTGGTTTGTCTTTTAATTTTGTATATGAGGCTTTGGGTGTCCACCATGTCGAGTTTTCTGTGCTGTCAAATAGATCTGCTGGTGAACTCCTTCCTAACTCCACGTTTGGTGTCAAGTTTACAAGGCTTTCTGAACCTCTTCAAAACTGCGTTCATCCTAATTTATATTTTTTCTAGTTTTTTTTTGTATTTCAAGCTTTTCATGTACGGTTGTAACGATTTTGAAATGTATGCCTGTGAGATGGAGAGCTAACTCTATGTTTTCGTCGAATGAGTAGCCCCGGTGTCTGCAGCATCTGTGGAATCATTCACTCTTCGTTCGTGTATCTGAAATGCCACTTTTGTGACATAGAAAGACCCTGGATATACTGAGTCAGTTTCTAGGCTTCCAATTTTATTACATTGTTCTCTAAATGGCACCCCATCTCTTTGATGGTTCTAGCTTTATGTTTTAATAAGTGGCAGAGCAAATGTTCCTGTTACTTTTCTTCCTAAATCTCTGTTCCTTACAGGAGTGTTTGTGGTCGAAGAAAATTACAAGCAACTTGAATATCCACCAATAGTGAAATCAGCAACAATATTTTAGTACATTCTAAAGAAGAATCCTGTGTTAAAAATGAATGAAGTGGACCTACATGTTAGAAAGCAGTCCAAGATATTAATCCCAAAATGTTCAGACATTGGTAACTGCAAAAAATGGCAATAAAATATTTTTGTTGTAAAACAAAACCAAACCCTAAACTTGTGTGTACGTGTTGGGGAAGATGGGGCAGGTGCTATCTGAAACCATGCTTGCTTGCATTAAGGAGAATGAATTCTTTTAAGCAAAATGACCTTTGGTCTTTGAGACATGACAGTGAGTTTAGGGACAGTCCAGATGAGAACAGGAAAACTGAGCCCAACAGAGTGAGAGCAGGTGGTTCCTGGGACAAGACAGGAGGGAATGGGGGGAGGAGAAAGATGGGATAGGGGGAGTATAAAGGACATACTCACTCTAAAAAAATTATTTTTTATTATTGGGAATTCAAATTTCACTGGACGTCCTGTATTTGATCTCTAATGAGAGTGGAGAACTACGTAAGAGACTGAGTTCCCCATAAAAATAGCGGAGGATTATTGAGAGCTTATTCCTGGCAGGCCCTGCTCAGTTGACTTAGTGGGATCAACTCGTTTAATCTTCACAATCCTCTGAGGCAGGCACGATCTTTATTACCTTTTTGTAAGCGAGGAAACCAAGGCACAGAGAGGTTACATAACTTGCCCCAGGTCAACCAGCTGGTGAGTGGCAGAACCAGGGTTCAAGCCCTGGCCCTGTGGTTCAGAGCCTGCCCTCGAAAGCAAGGTCTCTCACCTAGAGATCCACACATGGATGCGAGGTGATCCACATTGCTTGGAAAGATGGAAAAATCCACAAATCGAGCTGCTCCGCTGGCGGGGGGAGATGGAGCCAGAGGTGACCATGAAGAATGTTTGTATTTCTCTGGGAGCTAAATAAGGATGCACGTTCCCATTCATTGAAGTCCCGAGAGACCTTGCATGTAGGACCACGGCTTCCTCACCTGTCTGCCCCTGGGAACCAGCCCAGAGCCAGGCACATAGCAGGTGATGATTAAGGAATTGTCACAGCTTGAGGCCTCCAGGAAGCTGTCCCTGAGAAGGAGGGACATGCAAAGGACTTATTGGGGATGAAAGGAAAGAGGAGGAAGCAAAGCTGGGTCAGCCATCAGACCCTCCAGACCTGGTGAAACATCTGCCAGGCTGTGGGGAGATCAGAGCAAATCTTCCAGTTAGAAGGGCTCCATGCTGGGCAGAAACGGCCAGGCCCTGGGGCCCTCGTGGTGTCAGTCATTGGCTGGGGCCCCCTGAGAAGAAGGAAGGAGCCAAAGTTGGAGGCTGTCAGCAGCTGGGTGGCTGGTCCTTTCCTGAGTGGGGAGCTGAGTGGTGTCTGAGTCTTTCACATCCGTTCACCTACTAAAGGATGTCTTGGTGGCTTCCAAGTTTGAGCAATTAAGAATAAAGCTGCTATAAACATTTGTGTGCAAGTTTTTATGTGGATATAAGTTTTCAACTCTTTTGGGTAAATACCAAGGAGCACGATTGCTGGATCCTATGGGAAGAGTATGTTTAGTTTGTAAGAAACTGGCAAACTTTCTTCCAAAGTGGCTGTACCATTTTGCATTCCTCCAGCAATGAATGAGCATTCCTGTCGCTCCACATCCTCGCCAGCATTTGGTGTTGTCAGTGTTCCGGATTTGGGCCACTCTAATACGCGTGGAGTGGGGTCTCATTGTTGTTTTTGTTTGTAATTCCCTAATGACATATGATGTGGAGCATCTTTTCATAGGCTTATTTGCCATCTGTGCATCTTCTTTTGTGAGGTGTCCGTTCAGATCTTTTGCCCATTTTTAGATCGAGTTGTTCATTTTCTTGTTGTTGAGTTTTAAGACTTTGAATATTTTGGAAAAGAGTCCTTCATCAGATGTGTCTTTTTCAAATGTTTCCTCCCAGTCCTGTGGCTTGTCTTCTCATTCTCTTGACCAGGTACTCTTAGACTATTTTGGTGGGAAGTAGTTTTTCAGACAATATGGAGCAAAGTGAAAAATGCATAACTTTTGAAGCTGCAATTTTGTTTCTAAAATGATTTGGGAAATAAGCCCCAAAATACAGGTACATAGACGTTTATTGCCACATTGTTTGCCTTCTAGAAACAGGAACCATGCAAAGGGCAACAATATGCCTTTGCTACTGCCTGGGATAGGAAGAGACTCGGCACATCCACCTCATGGAATACTATGTAGCCACTGAAAAGAGAGACTATTACGGAAAGATCTCCAAGACACATTAACCGAAAAAAGCAAGGCCCAGAACAATCTGTTGAGTAGCATCCCATTTTGTAGGGGGCTGGAGGGAGGTAGTCAATCTAAGCTCAAGTTTGTAAACGCAACAGGGAAACTTTTTGAGAACACACAGCAACCCACAACAGGGAATTCCTCTGGTGAGGAGACGGAATTGGGGCATTTTTATTCTACATACTTTCAAACTGAATTTTTTATGTTCACGTGTTACTTGTGTAAATTAAAACCAATATTTTAAAAAGTATATTAAAGTATTAAAAGCAAGGTAAGTGAAAAAGGAGAAATGAAACAAAAGCAAATATCTATTTGTTATCACAATAAAAGCAAGCAAAGCCACTCACACAAGGATTCCCTGATTGGACTGGATGCTTTTCAAGCAGCTCTAGCCTGTTTTCAAGACACCCCCCTCCCCAAACAAAGGACTTGAAAGTTGAAAATAACATGATGGAAAAGATATATTTAGGCAAATGCTAACAACAATAACAACAACAAAATGCAGGTGGTAGTGTTAATATCAGATTAAACAACATTTAGGGCCAAGAGTATTAAATAGGATAAAGAAGGATATTTACAACAACAACTAAAAATAGCAAAACTTGAAGATATAATGATCACAAATCTTTTGAAACTGAACAGCGCAGGGCAATCCGTAATGGAAATCCTTATAGATTTAAGAGAAGTTGATAAAGCTAAAATCTCAGTTGGCAAATTCAACGCACTTGTCTCATATTTGGCAGATCACATAGGTAAAATAAATATTTACGAGCAACTGGGGAGCTGGCCCAGTACAAGGCACACAGTAGACATTCAATAAATATTTGTGAATGAATAAAATTATATAAGAGCTGACAATTATCATCCCATTTTACAGATGGGGAAGCAGAGGCGCAGAGATGGTTGGGAATTTGCCTAAAGGTAGCAAGTGGCTGAGCCGGGGTTTGAACCCAGACAGTCTAGCTATAGAATTGCAGCTGTTACCCTCTTCTGTCCACAGTCATAAAACAATAATTACATAAAACAATAATTCACAAGTGAGCTTATATGGGTGAATATGTATATGTGTAAGTGTCTAATATATAATATAACATGTATATAATATATAAATAGAGATGATCTTTTCTTGTTTTCTTCTCTTATTCCTTGGGAATATATACATAAAAGTTGATTTACTTAGCCGCAAGAAAAACTTTAAAGAAATTCCAAAGAGTAGGAATTTTCCAGGCTACATTTTCTGCTACAATACAATAAAGCTAGAAATCAGTAATAACAAGGTAACAAAGAAGAAAAAAATCTTGATTCATCGCTCATAATTAATCTTAATTATAAGCAGTCCCTGCCCATTATGCAACAATTAGACAATGCAGATGTGAGAAATGGATGACAATCACATGCAAATCATCCAAGAGACACAAAGACCCAGCGTGAGTGAGGGGCAGAGGGAAAGCGCTGTATTAGCGCTTTCTGCTACACCTGGGGTCCTCAAAGTGCGGTCCCCAGACTAGCACCATCAGCGTCCCTGTGATCACAGGAACACAGACTCACAGGTCTCACCCAGGACCCACTGAATCAAAACCTGTGTGTTTCACAAGCTCTGCCATCAATGCTGGTGCTTGAAAAAGTTTGAGAACCACCACTCTTCACTGCACTGGCCTCCTCTGGATACACAGAAAATTCCAGGGAGGGAGCCAGAGGATGGAACAAGGAGAGAAGGCAGGATCCAGGCACCCAGCAGAGGCAGAGTATGGCCAAACTTCCCCAGGCCTGTCATCACTCCCCGATAGTGCTGGATCCTGCAGTGGCTTGATTGCTTTAGAGCGGAGTTATACCCGGCCCTTCACAAAGACTGGGCGAGGGTATGGGGCCAGCGGATCTTAGTCCGAGCGCCTTCTTTCAGAGTGGAGGGCTTGCCCTGGAGAGAGAGCTGGCGTGCTCCAAAGCTGGAGGGGAGGCAATAGTCACCGACCTGCTGCAGGACCAGGAGCCCCTCAGGGTGTGGGGAGGCCGGGGCCGCATCTGCCCGAGGCTCCCCTGGGCTCAGGATGGGGCTGCAGGCTGCAGGAGGAGCAGGACTGACCAGTGGGGACTTGGAGGACTGGCCTGTGGTGGGAGGGAGCTCCACATTGCCCTCAAACTCTAGCTTCATGGGGGCCGGGGCCCCAGGGGGCCCACCGGCCAGTCCAGGACAGAGGCTGTGGTCCTGGTCTGAGGGGAGCACCAGAGGCGGAGCCTGGGAGACAGAGGGGGCCCCTGTGGGCGGGACGAGGGCCAGCCCTGCAGTGGTGACATAACCAGAGGCCACGCCGCTGTCCTCAGGGCCCCCAGAGCCAGCGGGCAGAGCTGTGGGGCTGCCCTTTGAGTCCTGAGCGCCCACCACCAGCCCTGGTGCAGGAGGGGCAGGGCCTGCCCCTGTCTCCAGGGAGGGACTCTCCTCAGCCCCTGGGCTGGGCTTCTTCTCCAAATCCCTGGCCTGGCCCTGTGCCATCGCCTGGGACAGCGGGACCAGCTGCACCTGTCCCCCCGGGGGCAGACACAGGTACTCCAGGGACCCCAGAGGTGGCAGCTTCTGGCTCGTGCCCATCTGCGGGGGCGCCAGCGGGCCCACCACGTCAGGCAAGGAGCGGCTGTGGGGCGGCCCCAGGTAGGGGCCATTGAAGTCGAAGCCAGAGACCAGGCCCTCAGGCCAGCCAGAGGGGGCCGAGAGGCCCGGCTGGGGGTTGGGGGCCCGCTCGGTGGGCAGGTCCGAGGGGGCTGGAGTCGTGTCAGGCTCAGATGGTGAGTCCCGGGCATCTTTAGGGTCCTTTGTGGTGAGAGGTGACACCTCGCTGTGCCCGCAGTCTACAGGGAACACCCTGTGGGGAGAACAGGTGCAGAGATGTTGGGACCACCCTAGGCAGACACTTTAGCCCCAGCGCAGGCTCAGGGTTGGGGGAAAGCCTGGCGCACTGGGGCTCACAGGGAGCAGAGAGCAGGGCGAAGAGAGGGGGCAGGCCTGGAGGGGGACACTGGACTTTCATTCGTCTCCCCAGGGATCTCGCCCACCAGCCTCTGGGCTCTCATCCAGGGTCTTCCTCCACCAGGACGGCCCCCACCCTCTGCTCCCTGACAGCCCCAGCATCAGGCCCAGGTCAGCGCCCAGCCGCGCGTGCTCAGTCATCCCCCTCCTTCATCCCCGCGTGTAGTCCCTTCTCCTGAGGGTGAGTGGTGAGCTGGGGGCAGCGTGCTGATGCCACGAGGTCTGCAGCCCCTCGGCCACCCCCTGAGGTCAAGGCAGTGTGGGGTCTCCCTGGGCAGCAGGGCAGGGAGAAGTCATCTGCTGCAGCCTCCCATCTCGGGTTAAGTCAGAGACACGGCCCTCCCTAACCTGGGAATCTAGTTCTTCCTGATGTCCAACTGGGATGCCTCTTGCTGTAGCGCATACCAGCCTCCACGGATCTCTTCCCAGTGGCCTCAGGCCACAGGCCACCTCATCTGAGCCCCCGAGGTGCATGATGGGCCACCCTCCCACCTCCTGGGGATCCCGTGCCCAGACACTCACTCCTCCAGCTCAGGGAAGTGGCTGCCCCACGGCCCCTGGTATGGGGGGCTCCCGCTGGTGCACACGCCGTCTGGGAGCCGCAGCCCGGCGCTCCCGTTCTGGAAGAGAGAGGACATGTGTGCCTGTGGTGTGGGGGCCATTGAGAAACTGAGGGTGGGGAGGGCCATGGGGTGACCGGGGATTCAGTGAGCCCAGACACGGGGACATCTCAGCACCGTTAGGACAAGCCACGCTTTCTGACACCAGGAAGGGGAGGCCTGAGAGGGGCTGGGACTTCCCGGGGGTCCTCCAGCATCCGAGGATGGGGACCCTGTTCCCTCGAGTCTGCTGATCTGGGCTGTCGCTGCCTCCACGCTCACACCCCGGTCTCCCCCACTCTGGCCATGAGCGCCCTCCGCGGGCAGAGCTGGCCGTCCCTCCCTGACCAAAAGGCTCCCTCCACCCTGGCGCTGGCTCCCACCCAGGGGTCATCGCAGCCTCCCGTGGTGTGCCCCCAGCCTCACTGCCCACCTCCCAGTTCCCTTCATGAAGGGCTCCTGTCTCCACCCTCCACGTGCCTTCTGCCTGCAGCGGCCTTTCCCACCTGGCACCGCCCCGGACCCCTCAAAACTCAGCTCCAACGTCCTGTCCCCGAGGAAGCCATTCTGCCTCCCACCGGCCCACCTACCCCCAGTAGCACTAACCCCCTCCATGAGCCCACCCTGGATCCTGACACCCCCGTACTCAGCTCTCTCCGGGTCCACGGGGGCCCCCGCAGCCGGGGCACCTTGTGCATCTGCGGGACCCAGGGGTTGGCAGGGCTGAACTGGCAGGAGCTGGCCTGGCTCTTAGAGCTTCCCAGCCCCTTCCCTGGCCACGGACGCCCTACCACTCAAAGCCACAGGAAGGGGAGGAGGACGGGGGCACAGGGCCAGGGCACAGGAGCAGGAGAGCCCCTCCCACCTCAGCCGCCCTCACAGGCAGATCCTACCTGGAACAGGTGGCTCTTGCTGGGGTTGGGGATTTTCTCCTCCCACTTCCGGTTCAGCCTGGAAAGACAGCAGGGAGGTGACAGCCGCCAGAGCCCTCAGGGCAGCTGCCCCCTGCTCATGTTCTCCAAGCTCAGAGGGGAAACTGAGGCCCAGGGAGAGGGGGGGAGTTTTCCAAGACCCTCAGGGAGTAGGTGGCAGAGCAGGGACTGGAGGGAGCTGGCTGTGAGGTGCCTGGCACCCCCCAAGTTCGTGGGGACCCCACCCCCCCGTCATGGAGTCCTCTTACCTGTACCCGTAGATGCCACAGCAGCGCAGGGCTAGGAGCAAGATTAGGGTGGCGAAGACCAGGATGAGCGCCAGGACCCACATGGGCAGCACTTCCGGGCAGGAAGGAAGGAAAAGGAGCCTTAGCATCTGGGGGAGGGAAGGCTGGGGGCTCAGGACGTGGGCAGGTCAGTGCCCCCAACCCTGCTCTGTGCAGGCGCAGAACTCCAGAGCTCACAGCCTTGAGGGTTGCAAAACAAGAGAGGAGGCCAGATACAGGCTAAGCAGAGGGCATTGGTCTGTACCCCCCACAGCGTTCAAGTACTGGGGAGGACAGAGAGGGGAGATCCTTTCCAGTAGCAGGAGGTGCTGTGGAGGGGACAGTGCCTGCAGCCCATGGCAATCACGAGGGGCTTCCTGAAGGAGGCAGCATATAAACTGGGCCTCGAGGAACATGGAAGATTGGAGAGGCAGAGAACGGGAAAGCTGCGCTGGTGGAGGCACCAGCAGGTGCAGAGGCCCATCAGGAGCCCCCGATACTTCCTGCCAGGCAGCCTGGAGCTCCTCACAGGCTGGGCCCTCCAGGACCCCCTTGCTGTCCTTCCCTGGGCCTGGTGTCCAGCCCCCCTCTCTGCTTGACTGTAGCCCTCTCCCTGGGTCTCCTCCCTGTTAAGGCCGCCTGGGTCTGGGGCGCTTGCTCCCCACTCCTCCCTCCTCTCTGCAACCACCTCCTGGACCTAGTCTTGCACTTGTCTCCTGTGGCCCCTGTGGGGAAAGGTGAGGGAGAAATGAAAGCAGCCAGAGCAGGGAAGTGGGGGAGATTGAGAAATCAGACCCAGACCTCCGGTCCCAGGCCTCAGTCTGCAGCTCCCGATGTTTGTTGCCATGGTAACAGGAAAGCAGGCCAAGTGGTCTCTGGGTTGGTGTCTGCCATAACGGCTAATGAAACCTTGGACCACGTTAGTAGAGGCCTTTGCTCTAAACTGATGGAGATGAAAGAGAGGAACCTGCTCTACTCTGCTCTGCTTTCAGGCCATGTGGGGTCTGTTTTGCACACCAGCTGTCACTTCCCAAAGGTTGTTAATAAGTTAAGGTATGTAGAGAGAATAAAGCAGGGTCCCCATATACAGCTGTGCAGGTTGTTCACTGCACAAGGACACCAGTGAAAGTGCAAGTGGCCGAAATCCAGCCTGAGACTCATATGCAACGTCTGTGCCCATGGGTCTGTATTTCTCCAAGAAGATGCATTTTCTTAATTCCCACTAGTAAAAGTTAGCAGAGGCCCAGGAAGGGAGGCCCAAGTAGAAAAGGGCCTGGGCGTCAGATCTCCATGTCCGCATCACGCCTGTGCTCTGCCCAGCTGGGCTGCAGCAGGAGGGTGGGTGGAGGCTGGGGAGACATACCCCACTCAGTGACCCAGGAGCGCTCCTCACTCCACTCACTCCAGATCCCCTTGTAGCTGCCAGGGGCAGGCTTGACCCTCACCCGTGCCTGGTACCTGGTGGAAGCCTCCAGCCTGGAGAGCGACAGGCTGTGTGTGTGTGACACAGTCTCCTTCTTGGCCTCCTGTGGATGGGGAGGGGAGGGGGGCAGGAGGAGGAGGGGGTCAGTCCCCGGAGTCCAGCACCACTGGGCCCCCCACGCCCCGGGGGCTCTGGCTATGTCCCCTCAACAGCTGCAGCATCGTCTTCCCCCGACAGGAGACAGCTCCCCAGGGCCCACTGAGCACTACCTCTCAGGGTCATACCTACGATGCCACCACATGCCACCCACCCATATTACAGGTGACAACACTGAGGTGCAGGAACCTCCAGGTTCCACCGTGTCCCACCCTCACTTTGAGACCCCTCAACCTCCCAGCTCCTCTGGGGGCAGCCTGGACCCCAGAGATAGCCTTCCCAGGAATGCAGTGCAGTGTCTGCACTCTGAGACAGGGGCTCCGGAGTCAGGGACCCACTCCCAGCTCCACCCCTGACCACACCCTCCTGGCCTCAGTTTCCACATCTTTGAGGCTGGCTCCAAGGTTTCTGATCTGGGCTCTGCAGAACCTCAGGTTCTGGACACAGGCCCTGAGGGCTGCCTGGAGGAGGGGGCAAGAGACTGAGCCCTGGGATGGGGCCCTGCCTGATTCCACAAAAGCTGCTCTGCTCTTAGTGGCTGCACATTTGTGTTCCAGACGAGATTCCTCTGAAGAAACGTCCCCTTTATGACTTTGGAAAACCCTTCATCCAGCTGTCACTCAGCCCTCCCCACCCTGACGTCTAGGCCCCCTTTGCAATTCAGGGGCGGCTGTGTTAATTCTGGCCAAGTCACGTCACCTCCGTGAGCCTCAGTGCCTTCACCAAGGGATGGGACGGTGACCTGCTGACCACACGGGGTCGTGGTCACCGAGTCCCAGCACCTGGTAGGTGGTGCCTTCCTGGGCGCTGTCTCCCCCCTCCCCCACACAGGCCCCTCACCGGGCACAGGCCCTCACCTCCCACGAGGCCGCATCTTTCTTGTAGTGGACCTGGAAGGTGTGACCTATGTGTTTTTCATGCATTTCTGCTGCTCGCCAGTGCAGGACGTAGGCGTCCCCAGTCTTGGTCACGTTGAGTGTCGGGGGAGCCATCTGGACTGGAGGGAAGGAAACTTTTAGGGAACTTTGTTCCTAATATCCCTCCCACGGAACATTCCTTGTGTTCCATGCTTGTCACAGGTACCATCTCCACTGGCCCAGGACCCAGGTCCCGGCCATCTCGGGGTCTCTGCGCCCCCAGGGGAATGTCAGCATCTATCCCGGCCGGGGCAGCCCCTCCCGGAAGGTGCTGAGATGAGCTGCTGGCTGTTGACTAGTAGTGAGGTGGCTGCGTTACTGGTTACTCGTGGTAGTTGAAGTCGGCAAGTTTGGCAATGCTGTGCCTTTTACGCTAAGTTAACCTGGGCGGAGTTGGAGTCCTCACTTTGAGACCATCTCTCCCAGACACTTGCCTTCATGCTGCCTTGGAAAGAGAGGTGGCCAGAGTTCCATGCCCTGGGAAAGGACCTCTCTCTCCCGCGGCTCCAGACTGTCTTTGCTGCTGCCCACGTGGGTTTGTTGGGCGTGGGGACAGGCACCTGTCCCCCAGAGACGGAACACAGGCGCAGACTCTCAGGAGGGAACTCAGAGGCACTCACTGTCCCCCTGTTAGCCCTGACACAGGCCAAGCTTTTCCAGTGGCCCTGTGTCCACCCCTCCCCCAGGTTGAGCCTCAGGACAGGATTCGGAGCTGCTGTCATACAAAGACCAGAGAGAGGCTGTGGAGGGCTGAACCACAGCCCTCAAGGATATCCAGGTCCTAGCCATCGAACTTGTCACCTTACGTGGCAAAATGGACTTTGTGGGTTAACTTAAGGACCTCGTGACGGGGACATTATCCTCGATTATCCATGTGGGCCCTAAATGTAATCACAGGGGTTCCTGTAAGAGGAAGGCAGGAGGGAGACGTGACTACAAAGAGAAGGCAGCGCGGCAGAAGCAGAAAGAGATTTGAAGATGTCACCCTGCTGTTAGTGCTGCCGAGTGGATTCCGACTCCTAGGGAGCCTGTGGACAGCAGAGGGGAGCCCTGCCCGGTCTTTTTGCTCCGTCCTCTCACCTCCAGTGCTGTATCAGACAATGCTCCGCTGCTATTCATAGGGTTTTCACGGCCAATTTTTTCGGAAGTGGGCAACCAGGTCCTTCTCCCTAGTCTGTCCTAGTCTGGAAGCCCCGCTGAAACCTGCCCACCATGGGTGACCCTGCTGGCATTTGAGACACCGGTGGCATAGCTTTCAGCATCACAGCGACACGCAGCTGCCACGGTATGACAACTGACAGACGGGCAGTGGGGTTCCCTGACCGGAATTGAACCTGGGCCGCAGCCGGGATCTGTGACAGCGCTGGATCTTAACCACTCGACCACCAGGGCTGGCTAATGCCGCTCTAGAAGCTGGGAAAGGCCAGGAAACGGATTCTCTCCTAGAGCCTCCTGAGGGAGTGCAGCCCTGCCGACACCTCGACTTTAGCCCAGGGAGACCGATACCGGTCTCCTGGCCTCCAGAACTGTCAGAGAAATTGTGTGTTGTTCTAAGCCACTACATTCGTGGTCATTCGTTGCAGCAACAACAGGAAACTAACACAGAAGCGGAAGATTCTGGCCAGGGCTCTGCACTTGCTGTGTGACTTTATCCAGTCACCTCCCCTCTCTGATCCTCAGCTTTCTCATCTGTGGGGTCACGGGTCAGGGTCACGGCTCTCCCACCCCTCAGGACAGGCCTGAGGGTCACGGGAGAGGGTGGTGAGTCTGAGCCTTCTCCCCACTGACCAGGCCTGTAACTGGGCCTGATGGCCTCAGACGGGGAAGGAGCTTGTCGCTGGCTCCGACAGGACAGAGCTTTCTTCCCTCTCAGGGCTGGCCTGATTTACCCCAGGTCTGAGCTCTCTCCAGCTGCAGGCTGCGCAGAGACGGAAGGACCTCCTGGCATTTGCAGCAGGAAGTGCTCCTGGATTTTTCTGGAAGCGGAAGGGGTGGCGAGGCAGGGTCTCAGAATGGAGAAGAAGGCAGCCTCCAGAGTCAGACCTGGGCTGGAACTGCTGATCTTTCTATTGTGGGACTGGGGCCTCTCTCTACAGGGATAGACTAGGCGTTAGCGGGGCCGCCAATCTGCGGGGAAGCCAGAGACTCCAGCCTGGGTCTGTCTGGCAACCCCGCTGCCCTTACCTCGTACCCTAAAGGCCGAGTCCCTCACAATTAAGAGGACACAGCAAGGAACACTCTGGAAGATTAAAGTGCTAGGCAGATGTAAGAGCTGTCTTCTCTTTGGGGTCTTCAAGGGATAGCAAGGACAATAATAACGATAATAATAATATCGTATTTACCTACATTGTTATTTTTTATTCCTATTTTGCTTCAAAGCCTCAAGAAGAAGAAACTCCTGCCTTCTATCCCCCTCTTCCACACCAGCCTCACCTCCTCTCCTCCCCATCCCCATCCCAGGAAAATCCATGGGGGGCATATGAGGGAGGGAGGACCCTAGAGGAAGAGGGGGATGGAGGACAGAGAGCAGACAGGAGATGGGGGAGAGGCCTGTACCGTCAGAATGTTCGGACACTGAGTCAACACATTTCAAGGGCCTACTGTGTGCCAGGTGCTGCTCTGGGCACAGGAACAGAGCAGTAAGCAAAGCAAGTCCCCACCCTCAGGAAGCTGACATGATGGATAAATATATTACATGTCAGGTGGTGGAAGGTAGTGTCGGAAAATGAAGTGGGACGAGGGGTAGCATCATGATTTCTGGGTTGGGGAGCTATTGTAAATAAGATTTTCAGAGAAGGCTTCACAGAGGTCATGACATTGAACGAAGGTCTGAAGGAAATGAGGAAGGAAGTCCCAGTGACTTGAGAGAACAAATGTTCCCAGAAGAGGAAACAAGTGTTGCAAAGGCCCTGAGGCAGGAGTGTGACCAGAGAGTGTCACCAACACAGAGGAGGCCCTGAGACAAGAATGTGCCCTGAGAGTGTCACCAACACAGAGGAGGCCCTGAGACGGGACTGTGCCCCGAGAGTGTCACCAACACAGAGGAGACCCTGAGACAAGAGTGTGCCCCGAGAGTGTCACCAACACGGAGGAGGCCCTGAGACAAGAGTGTGCCCCGAGAGTGTCACCAACACGGAGGAGGCTCTGAGACAAGAGTGTGCCCCAAGAGTGTCACCAACACAGAGGAGGCCCTGAGGTGGGAGTGTGCCCAGAGAGTGTCACCAACACGGAGGAGGCCTTGAGACGGGAGTGTGCCCCGAGAGTGTCACCAACACGGAGGAGGTTCTGAGACAAGTCTGTGCCCAGAGAGGGTCACCAACACGGAGGAGGCTCTGAGACAAGAGTGTGCCCAGAGAGGGTCACCAACACGGAGGAGGCCCTGAGACCAGGACTGGAGAGAAGGTCAGAGAGGCCATGGGCCTTGTGGGCTGTCGTGGATACTTCGGCTGTTACTCTGTGCAGGATGGAAGCTCTTGGGTGGTTTTGGTAGAGGAAGGGCATGATTCAGTTATGTGTTAAGGGAATCCCACAGGCTGCTGGATTGGGAAGACACTGAGGGACAGCTAGGATGGAGGAGGGAGACTGGGAGGAGACAGTGGTGAGGATCCGGGATCCAGAGAGACGTGGTGGCGTGCACCAAGGCAAGGCGGTAGACAGATGGCCCGATTCTAGGCATATTTCAAAGATAGAGGTGGCAGAATTTGCTGGTGGCCTGGATGTGGCATTTGAAAGAAAGCTGTGACAAGGATAATCCCAAAGTTTCTTGCTTGGACAACTGAAAAACAGACGTGTCATTTAGAGAGATGGCAGGGAAAGCGGAAAAGCAGAGTAAGAGGGACAAGTGAGCATTCACCTTGGAGCACGTGAGGTGTGGAATGACCAGGGCCGTCTGAGTGGTGGTGTGGAGAGGGGAACTGGGCCCGAGTGCTGGAGCTCGGAGGTCTGGACACAGCAGATTGAGATGTGAACACAGAGCAGAAAGAATGGGGGGAGTATTTTCAGAATGACTCTGGCATGTTATCAACTGCATCACTAACATATTTTTGAGAACTACAATTAAAGATTAGAATTAGTTTTGTTGATTTTGCTCACTGGACTGCCTTGCGTTGAAAGGGACACACGGGAAGACCGGGCCCTGAGGAACCCTGAGTTTCTACGGCTTACACAACTAAACAGTGCTGTCCCAAGACCCCCACACAGAAGGCTGGGGGCACACTCACTGTTCTCTGAGCTCTTTATAAATTTCTCTTCCTCCCTTGGCCGCACAGAGACGATGTACTGGCTGTGGTTGCTGGGGTCGGGCACGGGGATCCGGCAGCGGTGCAGGATGTAGGGGCCGCCGCACTTCTCCTGCAGCACCGGGGAGCACTCTTCCTCCCTGGGGATGACGTGGAGGTGAGGGCAGGGGAGGCAGGAACCACGGAGGGGATGAGACATCAGGGAGGAGCTGTGGCTGCTGCAGGGGCCCAGAGACAGGAGGAGGCCTGGAGAGGGCAAGGCCCAGAGGAGGGGAGGGGACAGAGGAAGGGGACACTCACCCTGCACTGGGGCTGGACTTGTAGAAGAGGGTGAAGGAGACTGAGCTGGTCACCTCGGACCTCACCTCCCAGGAGCAGCTGAGCACAGTGGCACCGTCGAAGGAGCACTGGAGGTTCCGGGGCTGAGCCTCATCCCCTGGGAGGGAGACAGTCCCTCAGTAATTCCCTCCTTCAGTCATCCCATAGCCCTGAGGGGCCACCATGAGACTCATCGCAGAGAGATCATGGGCCTTGGGGCCAGAAAGACCAGGGGTTAAACGTCAGCCTGAACCCGCCGGCTGTGTGAGCACAGAGCAGAGCGAGTCTGTGCACCTTCTCACCCCTGTGTAAGCGGGGAGAGCATGCACGTCTCAGTGCTGGGGTGTACACAATGACGCTGGTGTGTCTGCACACGGCAGAGCTCTCAGGACCACAGAGCCGCTCACGGTGCCATCGTGACTCTCATTGTAATTGTCCCCAGTCAGAAACTGTGCAGCAAACTGGGGCCAAGACGTGAGCAAGATGCAGCTGCTGCCTCTGCAGGGTCACAGAGGGGGTGGGGTGGGCCCAGGGGAGAGACTCCAAACACGGGGCACAGAAGATCCGTGGAATCCCGCAGTGTGGCCTCCTGGACTCCTTCTGTCCCGGAGCTGTAATGAGCCCCCTCCCCGCAGAGGGCATCGCCCCAACCCCACTGCGTTACCTGGCTGGGAGTCCCAGCGCACCTCCGGGCTCCACTGGCTGGGCCGTCCCGAGAGCCCCGAGCCCGGGGCCAACCGGGTGCGCACTCGGGCCACATAGGTGCTGCTGGGCAGGAGGTGCTCTGGCCCCAGGACAGCCTGGGAGGAGTTGGAGAGGAGGGTGGGGGCGTCCTGTTGGGAGAGAGGGGCTGCTGGAGCGGGTGCTGGCTGGGCCGCATCCCTGTTGGCTGGGGGCAGAGCTGGCCGTGGTCCCTACCTCCCAGGAGTCCTGAAGCTGCCTGTAGACCACCTCGAACTCCAGGTTGGACAGCCAGTGGCTCTGGGACGCCACAAGGGCCACTCTCCAGGTCAGCAGGAAATGGTTCCCGGCAGCAGTGACCTGGAGGTCTTCAGGGGCGGGGGGCTGCACTGGAGGGAGAGGAAGTAAAGGGCCCATGAGGGGTTGGACGCCTGTGCGGCGGTCAAGGGCCTGCTGGCCTTTGTGTGGAGAGACCTGGATTCCAGGTGGAGCACTGCCCCCCCACCAGCTGGAGGACCTTGGACAAGACCCCTCCCCTCTGTGGGCCTCAGGCCCTTCATCTGCAGAATCGTGGGATTCAGTGTGATCTTGAGTGAGAGCTGTGCAGGTTGCCGTGCACATACAACATGAGCTCCGTCGACGGTGCTGGCGATGAAACTCTAAGTGGAGCCTCCTTCTGCCCCTGGGACCCCACTGCCCAGAATGTGGCCTATGTGGCCTCCTTCCAGCAAAGGCTGCTGTGGCTCACCTTGCGCCCTCTCCTGCTGTCCACCCTCCTTCCCCTGTCCCCCTGTCCAGTGTCCCGCACCTCTCAGTGCCCAGCAGAAACATCTCCTCCAGAACCTTCTTGGTCCCCATCCCCCAGGCAGAATCGCTCTTTTTCTTGTCCCCCCATAGACGGTTGTGTGGTCCTTACAACCCTGGTGGATTTGTGTGTTTCCGGGTCTGCGTCCCCAGGGAGTCCAGGAGCTTGTGGGTGGCAGAGGTTGGGTCTTGACCCCTTCCCTACCCCCAGCGCGTGAGATGTCGTGGTTCTGGGAGTTTGGGGACAAAGTGAATGAATGATTGAGTAAGTAAATGAATAAATACATGTAGGCAACCTTCAGAGGCTTTTCATGAAATCATTCCATCGACCAACAGAAGCAAACATCTGCTGGGAGCTACAGGGTTGGGCGAGCAGATGCAGTAGTGAATGGCACGGCTCCTGCCCTCCTGAAGCTCCTGTGTCTAAACGCTGAGAGATGACTTTCAAACAAAGACCTCGATAAGAGCCCCAACAAGATGTAAAAGTTCTGTGCTGGACGTGAACGTAGCGTGTGAGAGCCTGGCAGAGCTGGAGCCTTCAGAAAATCTTCAGCCCAGCATGGCAGATACTCGGCACCGCTTCCCACCCACAGCCATGCGGGCATCACCAGTCAGTCATTGCACAGCTAGCCCATGAGCCTGGCATGGAGGGGGCCCTTCTCAGCCCAGAGCTCTGGGAAGCTGCTGCCAACTGAACCCTGGGTGCCCAACAAAACCCATTCATCCAACCTGAGGGAGGTTAGTCCACCAGCTCCTTTCACAGCTGGAGAAACTGATAGAGGAAGCGAAATATCCTCAGAGCAGATGAGATGCACGCCTGTCCCCTCCCCAGCACCCCGCGACTTCCCTGATTCGTTGCCAAAATGGTTTGGGCTGGAACTGACCTCCCTACTCAGCATATGCTCCAGGAGGCAGATGTCACACTGCCCTCCCATTTCTGAGCTGTCCCCGTCTCCAGCATGACCCTTCCCTGCTCCACGCCATAGCTTCACAGGGCAGGGAGACTGCCTGGTGTGTTCGGGGCTCTCCTGGTCATGCTGGTGCTCCACGAGCGAACAGGTTGATGAATGAACTGCGTGTATATTCTAACTTTGATTCGCATGCCCCCGCGTTCCCATCCCCTGGCCACACTCCAGCTGAGTCCTCATCATTTCTCCCCGGGGTGAGCGCCTTCGGTCACTTTCTGGGCTCCAGCCTCCTGCCCCCTCCCATCACTGACATCTAGCCTGTACATCACCCACCTCCGACATCCTCACACCCACATCTGGTCATGTCATGCCCCTTCAATGGCTCCCCATCGCCTAGACGTTGACCTGTAACCTCCTTTGCAGGGCACAGAAGCCCCCCAGTCAGGCCCTGCCTGCGCTGCCCCTCTCCTTCCTCCCGCTGTCCAGCCGCCTTGAAGCTGGTGCTCCCAGGACACAATTTTAGCGCTTTTCCCAACCTGCCTCTCCCTCCCGGGTCTCCCAGGCTCTGCACACTCTGTTTCCTCTGCCAGGAATGCTCTTGCCGCACTCTCCTCCCCCCACCCTTCAGATCTCTCTGCAAAGCTCTTCTTCTGGGAAGCCTGGCTGACCTCCCATGGGCTCCTTGTCCCCTGCCCTTGGCACGTGGCACACACTTGCCTTCAGTGAGTGTTCACACCGGACACACTTGCTGTCTCCTGGCCTCTCCAGCTGGTACTCTGAGCTCCCCCCGGGACAGACTCTCTCTCGTCCACCAAACACGTGTTCTGAGACATTGTTTGAAATGAATTCACCACGAACTAACCCACCCCCTCTCCCAGGCCACAGCTTTGTGCTGCCTGGGATGAAAAGAGGCAGGAAGCAAAGGCCGGAGCCCCCTCCCCATCTGACACCTGCAGGGACAGCAGGGTGGCCCAGGGTTGGAGACCCAGGATGCTGAAGTCAGACCTTCCTGGGTTTGAATCTCAGCTCCGCCACCAGCCGCTGAGAGGCTGTGAGCATCCAGCTCCCTCCGCCTGTTTCCTCACCAGTCAAACAGCAATAACAATAGTGTTACTGCTAATCTGGTGTTGTTTTGAGGGTTAAATAATCGGCAGTGTCTCCTGGAAGCCCAGGACATATGTGGTTTTTGCCATGTCTACGTAAACTCTTATAGTATGACTCCTCTTCTTAATTTAGCCTCATTCTAAGAAACAATTGCCTTGAATGCAGAGTTTGAAAAGTTGGTTATATTTCTGTCTAATATACAGTCCAATAAAGCCTAACTATTTATACAAAATGATCATCGGCCCCCACCCAGCACCACTGACTTTCTTGGGCTGCCATTGGCACAGAGTGCACACATTGGGGCGACTCAGCGAGGGCCATCGGGGTGACCTCCCCTCTAGCGTGCAGGGAGCACTCGGCATGTCTGACCCGTCACTGTCATGACTGCTCTGTGGGGGCACCTTGGAAACATTACGTCATCTCTCGGGGTCACAAGAGCCTCATCTATACGTGGGTGGTTGCAGACATCGCATGAGACCACAAAGATGATAGAGTTTTCTAAACAGATAAGCTTTTATGTGAATCCTAAGAACAGTTCTTCTAGAAGGGACGCCTCTAGTGCCGGGTGGCAGTGTCCTGGCAGGAGGGGAAGCCGCCAGGTGCAGGGGAGGCGCCTTTGGCCAGGGCTCATCACGCTGCACCTGCTCCAAGGCCCCATCGTGAGGAGACCACATCCTCCTCCCTCAGGAGACCAAACCCACCCCAAGCAGGGTCTCCACCCTTCAAGGGTCTCACTCCCTGGCCCTTCTCCTGCAGTCTGGCCACCCATAGGGCCCACTGTCCACATAGGGAGCACCCCCGGCCAGGGCCCCCAGGCCTCACCGTGCTGGGTCAGAGTGACGGTGAGCTCGGCGCCCAGAGGCCTGTCTGGTCGGAATGAGAAGTAGTCTCTGTCATGAAGGAGGAAAAGCTTGCAGGGGATGATGCATATTCTGGGCACACAGCCAGGACAAGTGCCATCTGACCAGGATGTGTCATCACTGAGATGGCAAGCCACTGGCTGCGGGGGGTGCCTGCCAGGAGAGGACACAGGTTAGCTGAGAGTGAAGAAGAATCACTCATTCACAAACATAGCTGTGTGGTTACCACATGCGGGGCTTTGTCCAGGGCCAGGGGATCTGGCAGTGAACCAAACACACAGAAATCGCTGCCCACGGAGCCACATCCTGGTGGAGGAGACACACGGGACACAACTCAGTAAATTTGTCATGTGTCAAATGGAGAAAACCTGACATAGATGGTACAGCAGGGAGGGGGAGGAAGGTGAACTTGAAATGGGTGGTCAGGGAAGGCGGTGTGAACAGGTGACATTAGCCCTGGAGCATCCCGCCACGCAGAGTGTGGGGTACAAGGGTGAGCCAGCAAAAGAGATCCGGAGGCCAGAGTGGCATGAGGCACACCTGGGACAGGACTGTCCTGGAGGTCGAGTGGAGAACACTGGGGTCATCTGTGCCACGTGATGCTGATGCATCACATAAAGAAGACTGCGGGGCCAGCACCGGTAGCCTAGTGGGTAAATTTGGCATGGTCTCTTTTGGCCGCCTGGGTTCAGTTCCCGGGCACAGACCTACACCACTCGTGGCCACGATGGGGTGGCGACCCACATATAAAATAGAGGAATATTGGCAACAGATGTTAGCCCAGAGTGAATCTTCCTCAGCAAAAAAAAAAAAGAGACTGAGAATAGACCTTTAGGCTCAGCTACACGAGGTCACAGGTGACCTTGACAGAGAAATTGGCTGCCGTGGTGGGGGTGAAATCCTTAATCAGAGTGCGCTCAAGGGAGGTACGTGGGAGAAGGTAGTGGAGTGTTGATGCAAAGGGAAGCAGAGAATGGGCCACGTCTGGAGGTGCCTGGAGCTGCAGCCCTGGGTGGCATCTGTAAGTGGGGGTTGGGGCACATTGGCTCAGTGATTGGGGAAGATCCCGGGAGAGGGCCCATGCACGGCACAGGGAGAGTGGGGACCGTGGTGGCAGCAATGTCCCTGAGCAGCAAGAGCAGATGGGACCCCCAGCTGCGGCCTCAGAGGGGACTGGGACAGGAAATCACTGCAGGGGGATCCACGGAGGCAGGCAGAGGCAGGGCGGGCAGTGTGAGCAGGAAGGGGGCTGAGGAGCGTCTCCTCTGGGGGCGTCTGTGGTCTCAGTGCAGGAGGAGGGGTCACAGCAGAGGGGCGAGGTGGAGGGGGAGTCGAGGAGAGTGGAGAGAGGAGGATGGAGGCTCCAGGGAGAGCAGGAGAGAGGGCCATGCCGTGGCGTGTGAAGGGCCGGCTCCTCCACGGGGCGGCCTCCAGGGGCTCTCCCCAGACCCGGTGAGGCCGGCTGTTTAATTATGTCTGTTATGGTGAGTTACTCTCACCAACACCCTAGCATGGTGTGAGGAATCCTCCCACGTGGCGTGTGCCCAGGAGACCACGTGGGGAGAAAGGAGCAGCCCCACACTCTGGAGGAGGCCGGGCCTCGGGGAGACACGGAGCCCACCCCACAGGCTGGACACAGGACGCTGGTCCCACTCGGCCGCTCACCCACCATGTGGCCGGAGGAGGGACCTCACCTCCACGGCCTCAGTCTCCTCATCTGTGAACTGGGCAACACGTCCCCTCCTGGCCTGCCTCACAGTGAGGATGGATTGAGACCCACTCTGTGGGGTGATTTTGTTAAACTGTGGTAAAATAAGAAAATTATCATCAGGACCATCATCAAGCACAATATTACATAGACGGCCCTTCTCAGAAACACTGACATCAGACACCAGCGCCCGGGCCTGGCAGGCCGCCCGACGGAGCAGGGGCTCCGGGGCAGGGGCCTCCCTCTCTGTCCTCCGTCCACCCCCACGTGGCACAGCCCCTCACAGCAGCACCCTCCCTGCCCTCCGGCCCCCGGGCCCCGCGTCACTCACTCGTTCAGCCTGCGGTGGAGAGTCACGTTGATGAGCCGCTGGGCGTCCCGGGTGTCCACCCAGCTGCAGACGATGCGGCTGGTGTAGTCGTTATGGCAGCTCAGGGTCTGCAGCGGGATGGTCCCTGACCGGGGAGAGGCAGGAAGGGGTCACACCTCTCCCCCCAGGGGTCCCTTCTCACCGCCCCTCCCAGCCCCTCTGGGGCACGTGGCACTGAAGAGGGGTCTCTTGGAGTCTTGTAGAGGCTCCTGGCTACCAGGCAGAGGTCCCTAGGGGCCCTACGTGGGGCTGGGGGCTCTGTGGGTGTGAGCGTCCTGGTGGTAGACCCTCCTGTCTGGATAGAAACAGAATATTCTAGCTGATTCACAGCACATCTCCTGAGCCCCTGCTGTGTCCTGCTCCTGGGCCAGGGTCTCCCTCCCACGCCAGGATGGGGACGCCCATCAGGCACAGGCCCTGCCCCCGGACCCTGCGGGGCAGCCTGGGAGGAGAGGCACAAACACACCCTAAGAAGCAAAGCCCTACCCTGGACCTCCCCACCTTGGTCTCCTGGTCAGTGGCCAGGCCTGATGGTGGGAAAAGAGACTGCGGTTCCCATGGGAGCCCTTGGGAGGGGGGTTCATGGGCCTCAGGAGCCTGAGGAACATCCCAGTCGGGCCTCCAAGCACGAGGAAGATGCTGGGGCTGAAGCAGGGAGAGACCCCCAGGCTGAGGGCCCCCCAGGAGCGAAGGTGGGGAGGTGGGAGCCAGTTGAGGCCGTCAGAGGAGCAGAGTGTCTGGTGGGGAAGGAGAGGCAGAGACAAGGCTGGAATGACGGGCCTGGAGGTTAGAGGCCTCGAACGCCACACTGAGAAACGTGGGCGGAGCAAGACCACAAGTGGAGAGGGACTTTACAGGAGGCCAGGGAGGAAGGAGCAGGAGTGTGGGAGGAAGAAGAGGGAGGCGCCAGGGAAGATCAGGGAGAGAGAAGAAAAGAGAAAAGAGAGGGAAGGGAGGCTGGAGCTGCTAGGGTCTGGGGCTTCCTCAGGATGGGACCAGCTGTGAGGAGGGGGACAGGGAAGGGGAGGGAGCAATCCGGCTCACCTTGGGCCCCTGCCACGCTGAGCCCCCAGCACAGAGCCAGGAGAGCGATGGGGAGCAGCCCCCGGGTCAGCGTCATCTTCGCGGTCAACTCTGGATGAGCAGGGGTCCGGCACTGGTGGGTTCTGGCTGTGGGTCGGTTTGACGGTCCTCACTGCCCGGGAGGCCAGGCCTGCCTCACCAGCTCCTGCTGTTCCTCCCCCAGGGCCTAGAAAGAGACATGGGGCAGGGTCAGGCCGCCCACCTTCCCTCTGCCCGCATGAATATGACCAGGGATGAGGGGGCAAGGGCGTGATGGGAGGGGCAGCAGGCCTGGGCTCCAGTCCCTGTTGCTGCCCCTCCTGGGACGCTGGATCAGGCCCCTCTCCTCTGGACCTGGGTGGTCCGCTCACCTGCAGCTTTCCACCAGTCACCACAGTGTTAGTGGGGATTCCGTGTATTCGGTGCGTCTGCTATGGGGTTGACACGTGTGTGTTTGTGTAAAGCTCTTTACGTATTTTTGGTGGATAAGTTTCAGGGATCCACCTCCTACACATGGAGCCTTTCATCTCCTAGGTCTTGAGGATGAACAGACACACTCTGGACCACGTTCTAGAGTGTGCTTCCTCCCCTTCCCACGTGGTTCCTGGCTGCTCCCTTTCCTCTGCAGGATGCTGAGCCGTTCGCCTTCCCTGATCTGTTACAAGGAGAGTCAGGTGTCTTGGCTTCTCTTCTTCCTCAAAATTTCTGAAAGCTACAAAACACACATCTGCACACAGGCGCTCAGATGACCACATAGGAACCAACTGCCCCAGGAGGGCTCTTACAGACTCTGGGGAAGCTGGAGCTGGTCCCTTGCCCAAGAGACTCTGTCTCGCCTCCTTCTCCTGGGAGTGTCTGTCCAACATGGCAGTACTGCCCTTCCCCCACCAGCCAGGTTTGTGATTGCTTTCCAGTTTTCCAGAATTAGATTAATAATACCTTGTTTAGCAATACATGGCAACTCTTTAAGGAAAAACCAGGAAAGGTTAACATAGAATTCAGTGTAAAATTTATCTCCTACCTGAGGAAGGGGGCAGGTAGGAGGACATGATTGAGATGGAGTTTGCAAGGAGGCAGTGGTGTTTCTAGGTACAGAAAATGATTGTGTTTTATACACCATCAGCATCCAGCCTCAACTCTTTCCCCCTCTTCCTCTACGTCCCGGCAAACCACAGTCTTGGCTGACTCTAACTCCTCACCTAGCTGCCTCTGTGCAGCGGAAATAAACCACACCAGCTGGTCTCACTTTAAATTCTTAACTATGATCCAGAAGTGCTGCCAGACCGCCATATGATGCTGCCCCAGTCCATTTGCTCTTCCTGTCTCCTAGGAGGTTATTTCACACCTTCTCTACTTCCCTTACACCTCCAGTTCCACTGCACCCATTCCCATACTCAGCCTCCACCTGCTTTTTCCGTCCCTGGGAAAATTGATCTAATAGAACCCTCTCCCCCACAGGTCTCATCACAACATCTGCAGTCATCTCTTCCCCCACACACTCTGTGCCCATGCCTATTGCCACCAATGGACTCTCCGTGCTCCTGTCCAAAGCCAACCGCCCAACCAGTGCGCAGGACCCATCCACACTTGCCTGCTCCAGGACATGGCTCCAGAAATTTCCTCTCCTTCTCTCTCCTATAGCATCAGTTTGGGCCTCTCTACTGGATTACCCCCATCAGCTTACACCAATGCTGTAATTTCTTCCATCCTTACAAAAACACTTTTTCTTGGTCCTGCTTTCCCCCACTATCTTACACCTTATTTCTCTTCTCTTCTTTGCAGTAAACTCCCTCAGAGTTGTCTGCATTCAGCATCCCCAATCCCTCTTCCCCCATCTGTCTTTGCTCTAATCAGGATCTTGTGCATGTGAGCAACCACTTCCTACCACCCCACTGCCAGCATGGTGGCCCAAGTCATCCTCATATCTCATCTGGAGTTGTGGGAAAGCATCCTAACAGACTTTCCTGTTTCCATCCTCACCTCCCCTCATCATCTATTCACAATATGGAAGCCACAAGCAGATGTCAACCTTGTGATAAAATCTAGCCCATGATTATCCCATTATAGTGAGCATACAAGCAGAGTCCTTCCAGTGGCTTACAGAATCTGCCCCCTTGCTGCTTCTATGTCTCCTTTCCTCCTGCTCCCCTCCTAGGTCACTGTGCTCCAGTCCCACCGATCTCCTGGGTGTTCCTCAAACACTCCAGGCATGCTCTTCCCTTGGAGCCTTTGCACTGGCTGTTCCCTCTGACTGGAACATTCTTCCCTTCAACATCCACATGCCTAATTGCCTCATCTCTTTCAAGTCTCTGCTCAAAAAGGCACGTCTTGAACCACTTCCTCCATCCTCCCATCCCTGATGTCCCTTACCCTGTAGAACACATATTATTTTCTAACACACTATACAATGTACTTATCTTTTTGTGTTTTTTATTTCTCCCTCCCCACTAGCTCCATTTCTTTCCATCGTCTTTCTCTCCCCACAGGTTCTGTAAGGGCAATGTTTTTGTCTTCTCTTTTCACTGATGCATCTCAAGTACCTAGAATAATGCTCAATACATATTTGTGGGATGAATAAATTTCTTAATATGAGTGATGAGTAGCCAGGTGTTCATTTTATTATTTTTCTTAAACTGCACCTGTAAGTTTTTGTACTCTTCTGTATGTACAAAATAAGATGTATAACTTAAAAAAATTAGAAAAAAAAATGAAAGAACTTGCTAACTAACAATAGTAAGTAAACTGTTGAAAATCAGTGATAAAAGGAAAATCTGCAAAGAAGCCAGAGAAAAAAGACATTACATACTTAGTAGCAAAAATAAGGCTGATAGCGGACTTATCAAAAACTATGAAAGCCAGGAGATAATGGAAGGAATATTAAAGGATCTAATGAAAAATAACCCTGCCAATTTAGAATTCTATATCCAGTGAAAATGTCTTTTGACGACAAAGGTAAAATGTCTTTCGACAACAAAGGTGAAATGAAGACATTTCAAACAAACCAAAGCCGAGGGAATCACTGCCAGCAGAACTGCACTATGAGAAATGTTAGAGGAAGCTCTTTAGGATGAAGCAAAATGATTCTAGATGCAAATCTGAAGGAATAGAGTGTCAAAGTGATAAACATGGGTAAATATAAACTATTTTTTCTCCTTTTTAATTTAAAAGATAATTGATTATTTAAAGCAAAAATGATACCAATGCGTCATGGAGTTTATAATATATATGGAAGTAAAAATATGATAACAATAGCTCAAAGGCAAAAGGAGGAAATGAAAATATACTGATGTAAAGTTCTTGCATTACACATGTAATGGTAAAATATAATATGAAGCTAAACTGCGATAAATTAAAAATGCCCATTGAACATGTAAAGCAGGGTTTCTCAGCCTTGACAATGTTGTATTTTCTGCTGGATAATTCTTTATCATGGAGGGCTGTCCTGTGCATTGCAGGATGCTTAGTAGCATCCCTGACCTCTATCCATTGGATGCCAGTAGCATTCCCTTCTCCTGCCAGTTGTGTCCAGACATCACTAAATGTCCCTTGAGGGGCAAAATCACCCCAGTTGAGAGATAATATTTTAGAGTAGCCACTAAAAAAAAATTTTGTGTGTGTGAGGAAGATTCACCCTGAGCTAACATCTGTGCCGATCTTCCTCTATTTTTCATATGTGGGACTCCTCCACAGCATGGCTGATGAGTGGAGTAGGTCCACACCCAGGATCTGAACCCGCAAACCTGGGCCACTGAAGTGGAGCCTATGGAACTTTATTTAAAATAAAAACAATAACAATGCATCACGGGGTTTATAATATATATGGAAGTAAAAACATGACTGCAATAGCTCAAAGGCAAAAGTGGAAAATGGAAATATACTGATATAAAGTTCTTACATTATATGTGAAATGGTAAAATATAATTTGAAGCTAAACTGTGATAAATTAAAGATACCCATTGAACATGTACAGCGGGGTTTACATGTTTATAGATTCAGCCATGGGGCCAGCCGCTAAAAAATTTTCTTTTAAATAAAGCAAGTCAATAAAGGAGATAAAATGTAATCCTAAAAAAATGCTCAATTAAAGCAAAAGAATGTGAGAAAAGAGGAAGAAAAGAATAAAAAACACATGGGACAAGTAGGAGAAAAATAGCAAGATGATAGACTTAAAAGCAACCATAGCTAGAGTGATTATAAGTGTAAGCAGTGTAAACACTACAACTAAAAGGCAGAGATTATGAGACTGGATATATAGATCTAAAAAACAAGACCTGACAAAACGATGTCTGTAAGAAACCACTTCAAAGTCACAGAAAGGTTGAAAGTAAAGTGATAGGAAAAGAGATATCAAGATACTATGCAAATACTGATTAGAAGGGAGCTGGAGTGGCTATATCACTATCAAGGTAGACCAGAACAAAGATTATTACAGGGATAGAGAAGGACATTTCATAATGCAAAAGGGGTCAATTCATCAAGAAAACATAACAAACTAAAATAAGTGTGCAGTTCACTAGAGAGCTTCAAACACATGAAGCAAAAATTGACAAAACTGATGCATTTCTCTATGCTAATAATGAACTAACAGAAAGAGAGCTCAAAAAGATAATACCATTTACAATTGCATCCAAAAGAATAAAATACCTAGGAATAAATCTTACCAAGGAGGTGAAGGACCTATACAATGAGAACTACAAGACATTATTGAAAGAAATCAATGATGACATAAAGAAATGGAAAGATATCCCATGCACGTGGATTGGAAGAATAAACATAGTTAAAATGTCTATATTACCTAAAGCAATCTACAGATTCAATGCAATCCCAATCAGAATCCCAATGACATTCTTCACAGAAATAGAAAAAAGAATACTAAAATTTATATGGGGCAACAAAAGACCCCGAATAGCTAAAGAAATCCTAAAGAAAAAGAACAAAGCAGGAGGCATCACAATCCCTGACTTCAAAACATACTACAAAGCAATAGTAATCAAAACAGCATGGTACTGGTACAAAAACAGACACACAGATCAATGGAACAGAATTGAAAGCCCAGAAATAAAACCACACATACACGGACAGCTAATTTTCGACAAAGGTGCTAAGAACATGCAATGGAGAAAGGAAAGTCTCTTCAATAAATGGTGTTGGGAAAACTGGACAGCCACATGCAAAAGA